CTCTGTTATTTGGGGTGCAAAGTTGCTTCCCACTGTGGTTTTGTGTTGGCAGCAAAACCTCGTGCTTGCCCTTGAAGGGCTCATCAAGGCATGGGCCGGATGGGAGGGCAATGGTTTCATCCTCAGACAAGCAGAGGCGATGGCAAATAAGCTGGAGGGTGCTTTTTTCTATTTCTGCAGTATCCTGTAAGTGGCGTAACGGTCCAGCAGCTGGCCCAGGCTTCACTCTCACTGCCTACAGATAAGTACATACAAATGGATGGATGAGGATCCATAAAACAAGGAGGGCAGGTTGGATGTGTCAAACCGCGGAGACCTGTGAAAGCCTGGACTTTGCTGTCTAATCATTGCAAAGCACCTTGCTGCTCCTGCGTGAGGGTGAGAGCAGCCATGTGAGCTGTGGGGCGAGTCAGAAGGGATTCAGGGGTGCTGGAGGCAGGAGTGAGGTGCAGCCCCCCAGGCTAGTGCTGCGCAGAGCCTGTCCCGAGCCTGCCATCCCCCTCTGTGATCTTGTTGCTGAACAGTGACCAGAAACGAGCCAGTGTCGGTGGTGTCCACAGTCCAGGAAGAGGGGACTCAGCGATGCTTTGGGCTGGGAGCTGAGTTAGGGGTGTCCTGGGATGTGTCTTCAAAGTGGTCCTGGGGGTGGCTGGGCAGCTCTATAGCAGTTAATTGGTTAGGGCAGGGCTCAGCCACGGGCTTGGGAGGCTGCTGGAAAGGCTGGGGGCAGCTTTGCGCAGACCGGAGCTGTGCTTCTGAACTCCTTCCTTTGCATGCTGGTTTTCTACTGTTCTCTTAAGCCATCCCCATTCGGTGCCTGGACCCTGCTGAGCCCCAGCATGTGCAGCACACGAGGAAACGTCTGTCTGTGGGTGGAGGGCAGTGACGTCCTCCCCAGCTCTGCCTTACAGACCCTCTTGGGGTCTCAGTCCCCAAGGACTTGTTCAGTCCCCAAGGACCTGTTGTGTCTCCGGAGCGCAGTTCCCAACTCCGCTACTGCCTGTCTGGCACTCGCCAGCGAGAGGGAACCAGGCAGCAACGAGACAGTGAAGTTAGTTTTCGGGGGGGGTTGCGTTAAAAGTAATCAGTGGATGTGCTGGAAGTCTCTGCAAACCACTCGTTCACACAAAATTATTTCTTGTGATGCTTAAAAAAAATTGCTTGTCTTTCATTTGCTAAGTTTTTTTGCATGTCCACTTACACACTCCTACTGATTCTGTGTGTTTGACTGCAGCATCACAGCACTGCTTTTGTGTCTCTCCAGCTAAAGACAGTTCCCAAGCCTCTCCTTTGAGGGATCAGCTTTGCCAAGCTTTGGCAAAGGCTTTACTTCATTATCGTGTTACATCCTTTTCATTGTGCCCGCTTGCCTTGCCCTTGCTTGGGAAGATGCCGGCAGACCATCGGTTACAGCGGTGGCTGCACAGCTGGTGTGTTTAGGGGGATGCCCAGGACTAAGTGTCCCCTGGGGCAGTGCAGGAGGTGGCTTCTGTGTAATTTAGAGCAGGCTGTTGCATAGGTGCTAGTTTGTTCTTGCACACAGTTATTTGTCCTTTGCACCTTCTCCCAATGTCCAGGCTGCTGCTATCTGACACGGGTGACAGATGGGCCGTGGGATGCTCCAGCCGTGTTGTACCTGCAGCAGTCAGCCGCTTGTTCACAAAGCTGGCCCAGTGCCCCACAGCCTGCACCCTGACCCCTGGGATTTGCAAAACCCAGCCCTTTTCCCATTGATTATTATTTATTTCTAAACCCATTTCTGCCAGGGCTGGATGTGAGCCTTGCAATAGGACGAGAGTGCCTGTGTCCCAGGGTGCTTGCTGTGCTGGTGTTACAGTAATGTTGGGGCTCCTCAAAAAGACCTAAAGCTGCAAACCAAGAAACCACCTGTGGCAAGGGGGAGCATCAAGTGGCAATGTTGCTGCAATGTGTATGGTTTTGATGAGCTGTTTTGAAGAGGTGACCCTTTTCTCCTCTGGCTGATAGTCACGGTTCTAAGTTGCTAACGCTATTTTGAGCCTTCTTTCCCACGCAATGCCAAAATATTCGGGAAACAAACTGAGTTTACAAATCCACAGTAATTTAGTACTTTTCTCCTGCTGGTTGTGAGCCTGTTTTTGCCAGGGTGGGACTGCAGGATTCAGCCTAAGTGCTGTCACCCGGGGTCAGAGCCACCCATCAGAGTTGTCTCCCTCTTCTTCGGCTGTTTTGTGGTGGCCACGCTGCTGCCGAAGGATCCAACATAGCTGCAAGAAGTGAGTCCCCAGAGACCCAGTCTTGCTGCCTCAGAGTCATCTCCCAGCCTGGGCACAGCTTGGCACTGGGGCTTTGAGAGGTCACTAGCCTGCTGTGGCCCCAGCTTTTCCCACGGCCAGCTTGGGGGTGGCACCAGGAGCCTGCCTGGGGCTGGGGAAGAGTTTGGGGCACAGCTGGTCCCCCTCCACCTGGCCCTGCTCCCCATGGGTCCCCCGGGGCCGGGTGCTGTGTGCTGGGTCACAGTGAGCACCAGTAGCAAGAGCAGTAGCAGCCCCAATATAGCCCTGGGGGGTTGCTCCTCCTCTTGGGTTCTTCCCCCCAGCACCCCAGCTCTCACCCTATGGTGAGATGAGATAGCTGGATACCAGCCTGATTCCTCCCCCCATCCACCCCCCCCACAGGGCTCAAAGCAAAGGCTTGCTCTTTCTTTGTGGATTTTGAGCCTCTCATGAGGGCATGGGGCATGGATTGAGGCTTGCTGGCTGGCTGGTACATCTGTGAGCCGCTTATTTTTATTTTCTTGTGAATGCTATAAAAAGATGAACTCAGGAGCAACTCCTGTCCTTTCTGGGAACTCAGCCCTGCATGAAAGGGAACAACCTGGGCTTTAAAGCAGGAACCAACCCCATGGGGCTTCCTGTGGTGCAGCCCCAGCACTGGCACTGTGATGTCCTGCAGCATCTCGGGTTGAGATATGTGGGTGCAGCTGAGTGTGATGGGAAATTGGGTCTGGGGCGGGCGAGAAGGAGGGAAGTGGGTGGGGGTCAGTGTCCCTTCCGTGATAGCACAAAGGGACAGGGGACGCTGCACCCCCAGCCATGCCAGCACAGGGACCACTGTCCTTGGGCAGTGCAGAGATGGCGGGACAACATTTCCATCCCCAAGGCGAGGTAATAACTGTCTCCAGGAGAGGGGGTTGAACCCCTCACTGTGGGGGGGATCCATTGGAGCCAGATCCTGCAGCTCTCCGAGCAGAGGTGGATGAGGGTGGGAGGAAGATAAGGCTTTTAGCTGTGTTGGCATGGCTGATTCAATGTTTTTCCTGGCTGGGAAGGGTTCAGTAGGTGAGATAAATGCAGATGTACGTAATGGAGCTGTTTATATGCTTGCTCTCTGTAACTTATGCCGTGAGCAGGGCTAGACTAAATATAATGCTTATTGATATGAGGCAGTGGCCAATTTATGGCCCTCTGTGTGGGGCAGGAAGATCTGGTTATAATAACACTCAGCAGAGGAAAACAAATGTTTTACAGCCAAAAGCTTCCCAGGAAGAAAGGCCAAGCTGGGGATGGGTGGAGGGCAGCACAGTGTGGAGGAAGGCTGAATCAGGACCCGGACCCTGGAGCAGACCCCCAGGGAGAGCCAGGGTCCCAGCTAGAAATAGTCTCCTACAATGCGTGCCAGTCCTGGGGAGCTCTGCCATGGGGATTCACAAGGAGGGAAATCTGTGCAGACAGACTTAGACCCCCTTTAATGACAATTTATAGAGACCTGATCTTCACGGGTGCTTGATGCTGTTGGGGTAAAGACCTGGGAATTGCAGGGATGCTCAGGATAGCTTGTCCCAGCTCCTGTGCACTTTCACCGCCTCCTCTGGCTATGCTCTGCCACAGGGTTTTCAAAAGAGTTAATTGATCCTATTCCAGTGATGCTCTTCTGGTACCGAAAACGGTGGGTCTTTAAATAAAGCCCTCAGCTGCTGGCAGTCACAGGGCTCAGCTGCTCGTGGAGCCTTTGCAGCGTTGAGCGGGGGTGCAGGAGCCATGTCAGCCTCTTGTGCGAGGGTACAGCTGCATTAAGGGGAGTGCAGTGCCGTTCCTCGCACCACGGTGCCCCCCCCTCCAATGGATGTGCTTGGATGTAACCCACTCCCTCCTCTGCCCCCACTGCCTGTGACTTCCCTTGGGCCAGTGGGTCCCACTGCCCCTCCAGCACCTGCCTCTCCTCCAGTGCAGACTGTGGGGTGTCTCAAGGGAGCTGGACACGGGATGCAGGGTAGAGGGTTTTATTGAGGCTTCCCCAGCTGGCTGGGGCCCCCCAGCACTTGCGCAGCCCTGGCTGTCCAGCCCCACACCGCAGCTGCAGGAAAGCAGTGCCCATGCCCTGCTTTGCGCTTCTTCACAACCACCTCCCCTGGGCTGAGATGCTGAGCCATGCCCAAGCTGTCTGAAAGCATTAAAATCCTCCCCCAGCGCTGACCCACTGATGTCCTCCTCTGCTCCCCCTGGCAGCGCAACCTCTCCTGTGGGGCCATGGCTGTGCTCCCCCTGCAAACAGCCTCCCTCCCTGCTGGTCCTTGGTGACCTCCAGATGCTCTGCAGAGCCTTGCACGCAGCAAAATGGTGGGGATGAGCCATGGTAGGCAGCACAGGGCAGTGGCCCGTGCCCTCAGCTGTCCCATACTTGGAGTACAATGCTCATTTGAGCTACGGCTGCTGCTTCCAGCCGTGCTCCATCTTGGGGAAACCTCCTCCAAGCCACGAGCCCCAGGGAGACGTGAAAGCCCAGCCAGCACCAGCTGCACGAGGAAGGTTTGTCTCCTGATTTCCATGCTTCTCTCCCAGATTTTCCTACTTGAGCTGGGTTTGTGCCCACGTGGCTGTGGACAGTGCTGCCCTGGGACACAGCTCCTGAACTGGGACACAAACAAACCAAGACTTCCCAAATGTCCCTAAAAGTGCACCCTGCTAACTCCAGCCAGACACTGCATTGGTTGGAGGGACCAGAGCTTTCCATAGGCTCCAGGTGTAGATGCAACAGGGTGTAAGTTCATCCCTGACAGAGGAACAGGTGATTACACATGAGAGTTCATTTGGGGGTTTGGTCTCTCTGCTCTCAGCAAGTGCTTGGTGGAAGCAAATCCTGCTGTTGGATCCACGGTCAGTTGCTTGGCTGAGTCTGTAGTCAGCAGCATCGCTTTAACAGTTATGATATCTGGGTGCGTTTGAATGAAAATGGGTACGATTTGACGCATTTCAACCCAAAATGTATCCCATCCCCAGGCCTGCAATGCTGCAGGAGACCGCAAAGCCGTGGGATAGGAAGAAGCTCTGCTAGGTGACTTTGAAGGTGATGAAGGAGCCATCTGCCTTCTGCTGGTGTCCCACCAGCTCTGCCTCCTCCCAGGGCTGGGCTGGGACCTTGCAGCGGACGGAAAAGCACCTCGGCAGGGCTTCGCTGATGTGGGTCACCTCACTGAGCTCAGCCTCCAGCGTGCTGACAGTGTTTGTCACCTGGGCCACATGCACCTTGTTGGCTGCCCTCTTGTGCAAGAGGCAGCTGAAGATCTTCTTGAAGCCCTTGCGGAAGTGTTTGGAGACCAGAGCGTAGACAATGGGGTTCACGCAGGAGTTGGCATAGGAGATGAGATGCGAGAGGATGCGGAGCACGTATGTAGCATGATTGAGGGGGAAGTACCCGAACCAGACGCAGAGGATGAGCAGGTGATGGGGCAGCCAACAGAGGCAGAATAGGACGGCTACAATGATGATCATCCTGGTGACCTTCCGCTTGGCCACTTTGGACTCTGACATGTCTTGGAGAGGGTCCACGGACCTCCACAGGTAGTGAATAGTCCGCACATAAGTGAGGCTCAGGATCAGCACTGGGATGATGTAGCTGAAGATGAAGGTGCAGATGTCCATGACCTTGCGCTGGGAGATCTCCCATATGGGGTGGCAGACAGTCAGGTTGGCCAACTGGAATTCCTGGTAGTAACTGAGGTAAGGGCTTGAAAAGATGAAGGAAAGGCCCCAGATGAAGCAAATGGCCATGAGGGCATTCCTGGGTGTCCTCAGCTCCCTCGAGTGCAGGGGGTATCGTATGGCCAAATACCTGCACAAGAAAGGGAAAGGGACATGACCGCAGTCCTGGTGAGGGCACAGAGAGCTGCTCCAAGAGCAGACTGGAGAAAGGGCAAAAGTGATGGATCTGAGCTTTCCAGGGCAATTAGTTGCACACCTGACTCCCTGGTGCTTCTCAGGATCCCTGTGCATCATAGTGGGGTGAGGAAGATCCTCTCCCCTGACCCTGTCCTGACACCCTCTCTGCTCCCAGCAGTGCTTGTGGGGAAGATGGGGATGGTCCCCTTCTGTCCCTCTCCCTAATCCAGCAGCTCCTCACTTGATCATCAGTCTGTCTGGCACAAGCGACAGCAGCAGTGAGGATATGAAGGCAGGAGCAAGTCCCCAGGATCCCCAGACACCGTGTTGCTCGTGCTGGCACATGTGACAGCGTGTCACCCATTTTCAGTTCTGTAATTAGCGTTCCTTAATCACGACGAAATCTGGGGGCTTGTGCAAGCTCCCTCTTGCTTGACACCTTTGTTCCTCCCAGTTCTGTGGGATGCAGAAGGAGAGGCAGACCCTGGCTGTGTTTTACCTCCCGGGGGGCTGGGGCGGGGGGGGGAACCTGTCCCAGCAGCCAGCACAGTGCCATGCTGGGATGGCAAGACACATCCAGCCCTGCTCTGGGGCTGCCACAGCTCTTTCCCAGGTGACTTTCACAGGGACTTTCCACATCCCATCTCAGGTTTTGGATACTGAGCAGAGCAGCACTAGGAGCTCCCTGCCTCTCGCTTGCTGTGGGTTAGTAACTCACCAGCCCTTGCAGAGGCAGGGGCTGAGCTAGCATGGGGTAAAGCGCAGGCAGGAGCAACAGGCTGCCTTTTACGTAGCTTCCCAGCTAAAACCCACCCTGGGCCAGGCTGGGACAGTGACTAGGACAAGGGACAGCACTGGGACAGAAAGGGGCTTTTTGGTAATAAAAGGGGAGGGTGGGAAAAGCAGTGTCCCAGCTCAAACATCCCAGTGTCTTTCTCCTCCTTGAGGTTTGCCTGCTTTGCCGTGGGCTCTTGGGAGGGTAGGGGCTCTCTCCACGTATCCCAGGAAGAGCCAGGGGAGTGCAGGGACGGAGCTTTTTGTCTCTCTGGTTTTCTATCCCCCCTTCAGCTGCCAGAGCCTGCAGACCAGTCCTACAGCTTCAGGGTCTGAAAGCTTCCTCCAGCTGGGCACTGGGGACAGGGGTCCCAATCCAACTCTCTCTACTGGACCCTATCCTTGGTGGTTGCGTTTCCTTGCACAGGGGAACTGCGAAATGCTCCTGAATTCCCCCAGGAGTCCTGGGAGGTTGCAGCCATCAGGACTTCGCTCCAGGGGATTCTGTCCCCTCTCCTTCCTGGGGGGGGGGGAATCCAGAGAAGGGGGAACCTCAGCCCCCCCTCCCCTTTCCTACCTGTCGAGGGAGACGGTGGTCAGGGTGAAGCTGCTGGCATACATGGTGAGGTAGATGAAGAAGTGGACGGCCTTGCACATGAAGGGCCCGAACACCCAGCCCTCCAGGGTGTAGATGGTGGCTTGGAAGGGGACGCAGAAGAGGATGAAGCAGAGGTCGGCCACCCCCAGATTGAGGATGAAGAGGTTGGTGGTGTTCTTCACCTGCCCGTTCCGTAGCAGCACGGCCAGGACCAGGCAGTTGCCCACCGTGCCCATGAGGAAGATGATGAGGTACACCAGTGGGATGATGACCGATTCAGGCTGCCAGCCCGCCTCGGAGCCCACCGCTGAGCTGTTCATGGCCGGGAGTGCACGGAGCGTGCAGCGGGGATGGACGGGGGGAGTGTGTGTGGAGAACGCACTGGGGTGGCAGGCAGGGGGTGCACGGAGAGCGCGGTGGGGATGCACGGGAAAGGGGGTGCACGGAGAGAGCAATGGGGGGTATACCAGGGATTGCACGGGAAAAGGGGTGCACGGAGAGGTCAGCGGGGAGCACAGCGGGGATGCAAAGGAAAAGGGGGTGCACGGAGAGGTCAGCGGGGAGCACAGCGGGGATGCAAAGGAAAAGGGGGTGCACGGAGAGTGCAGCAGGGAGCGTACCTGAGATGCACGGGAAAAGGGGTGCAACGGAGAGTGTGCAGGGGGACCCGCCGGGGCGCACGGAGAGCCGGCCGGGGTTACACGGTGGGAGAGCGGGGTTGGGGGGGTGGAGGATGCACGACAGCCGGGCGCCCTTCACCTCCTCCGGGTCGGCTGGGAGCCCGCGGCCGCTCGCTGCGGCTCCGGC